AAAAAAAAAAAAAAAAAACACATCTTAGTAAAACCAATACCTTCTCAGCTTCGCATCGAAGCTAAAATGAAAATTAATTATTTTAAGTTTACAGACATTATTATGAGTTTATTTAGAATATTATTTACAGTAATTTGCTTGGTATGTTTATTATGTACACTTAATAAACAAATTTGTTTTTTAACACAATATAGTCCCAAGTTCGACAGACTAACCAACCGTCTCGCAGTATCAATGATTTAGAAACTTCCTCCATTGGTGGAGGCCGATATGATCCTTAATTAATTTATAAAGCTTAAAAAAGAAAAAATAGTCCCAAGATATTATTGTTAAAGACTTGACTTCATCTAGGCACATCAACACCCCCACCGAAAAACGTTGAAAATCTATCACTGATATTTAGGCAATAGTACAGCGGATTGATTGGCACTAAGTTTAGCAAGAGTGAAGTTTGGGTTATCACTTGAGTGATTTTACAGTAGTTTATACTATAAAATTCTATGGCTATAAAAATATAGATAATAATGATTTTCACAATAAAGTAGCTAACTTCAAAAAATTTGATTATAAAAAATTCAAATCCTAACCTTGTGTTACTTAAAAATTAAAAAAAAAAAACAAGTTATTTGAATATTATTTTGAAATTTTTTAAACAAAATATATTTTAATTTATTTGTACATAAAATTAAAAAAAAAACAAAACAGCTTTAATATTTAAGGATAATATTATTTTACACTACAATCTAACATCAAAGATTAACTACCAACCACTTTAAAACAATATAATATTGCTCGAGTACAACAAATTATCTAATGATTACTAATTTAAACATAATATGTATTAATAGGTTTTATAAATTAATATTAAAATTTAAAAAAAAATCAATTTATATAGCTGTTATTTTAACAAAAAATAATTTATAAAGAATTGGTAACTTTCAGTAGTTAAATAGATTTCCGATTATAAACTGTAGAATTATAATTAATTAGTAGCAATAAATTAAATTTAGTTAACATAATAAATTGAATATATTATTTTTAGTAAAAAATAAATTGATGATCTTATATTAAATTATTTTTTGCTTTATTTTATTACTGTTTTTTTTAATATCACTAAAGAATACCGAACTTATCTGATTATAATATTCAAAAATTAAAGTTCATATACATTTAGTACATACATAAAATGATTTTTAAAAATTATGTGTCTTAATTAAAGTAATTAGATTATTAGTTATATTCAACTTGTGAAATGAAAAAAAATAATTACATAATATGATATAAATCATTTTTACATATCTGTATTACAATATTTAATGAAAATATTTTATGTTTAAATTTCAGTCAAATATCAATTGTAAATTTGTTAAGTGCTAAATCTTAATTAAAGTAAATATATATAATGCTTTAGAAATTTTTTATATGAAATCTTGTACCAATATTTTATTTTATTTACTTAATTTACAAATAAATTCCAGGATGATAAAATAAATAAAAAATTTATTCATTGTAAATAAGAATCCTTAGCGCCTATGATTCTATTTGATTATAATATAAGATTTTTTCTTTTATAAAAAGATTAATTATTAAATTAGAAAAATTAATATTGCTAATGAATAAAAATTTTTTGACTAATACATACAATTTTTGCATGAAACAATCAACATTATAATCACAATTTTTGGACACATAAATATAATCATACTAATAGTCAACAATTTAAATTTTAAAGTATATATCACTTTGGTTAACAAATATAAACACATAAATCATAATTTTTCAATTAAAATATAATCAAAAATCATTTACAATGATTAGTTTTTGAATCATTTGATCCAGATTTTGTATTATCAATAGCATCTCTGGACTGATAAAATAAAATATAACCTGTTTCTGAGGACTTTTGTAGATCCGATGTGAGCCCATAAAAATCTTCTATAGCTGATTGGTCAATTTTCTAAATAAAATAAACAATTTAATTGTTCAAAATCTCACATAATTTTTATAACTTACATCGACCATGTCATCATCAAATAATAACCAAAAATCATGACTTTTTACAATACTTATATAATGACCTCTGTTTGGACCACTACCACAATGAATAACTACAGCAACAAGATTATACATTCTGTCTGGATTTACAGCATCATCAGACTAAATTGAAATGTAAAAGTTAAAATTTATTATAATAAAATTATTATACAACATTAATTTTTTTTATTCAATTTCATGTAAAATTTAATAAAAGGAAAAATATTTTTATTACTGTATTAAATAATCTCAATTCTAGAGGAAAAACTACTCTATGGGATACTTTGATGTGTCTATTAAATTGTTCCATATATTTAAATCGTTTTAGATGAAGAGCCAAAATCATGGGCAACTTTTTAACTCTCATACATTTCTAAAATATTAAAATAATACATCAATATTGTTGTATTATATAAATTAATAAATTACTAATAAGATAAAATACTTGAGCTTCTTGATAGCTACAGCAGTTGTCACACTTAAATTTATTATCACTACATAGCATTTCTGTATTACTAAAACAGCGTAAACAATGAGTAATACTTGTATTTTGATCTATATCAACTTGCAAATCAAAAAAATCTTCATCTTTGCTACTAACCTTGAATTATAGTTTTATATAATAATAAATAAATAAAATTAACATTTAATTAAAAGCACATACTTCTTCACAGTTAAGACATCTAGTTTCGCTTGTTAGTATACCTTGGAATATTTCATGAACCCACGTTGGATCTTCACTATGACTACTTGAACTAGTAATACTACTTGATGTAGACTCTCCATCAATAACACTGGGGGTTATATTTTTTGATTTACCATTACAATTTGTTTGATTGCGTTCAGCTAAATTAAACATTTTGATTCATTTTTACATAAAAAGAAAACAATATAAATTGTTAAAAAATTAAGATCAAAATTCTTACAAAGTATTATCTCATTAATATGGTTAATTAGAAAATTCAAGAACTCATGAGCATCCTGTTGCATATAATTATTGAATTCTTCTATGAAAACAATAAAAACAAAAATTTAACTATTATTTTACATAATGTCAAGTACTGAGTTATCAATTAGACACTCATTTTTTCAGAAACTGAAAATGAGTATATTCAATTTCTTTGAAAGAAAATATTGTATGATTTAAAAAATTAAAATAATAAGTAGTTAAATGTATTTTTTATCCCTTCAAAAAATAAAAACATAAACTAATTATTTTTAAAAGAAACCTCTATTATTAGTTTAATGTTATGATAAAAAAAAAAATTTTTCTTCTTATAACAAAATTAATGATTAATTTGATTAACCCATTTGTGTTTTAAAATTGTTTAAATATTTAAATTTATAATAAAAATGCATTGTTAATTTAGTTTTTATAATATTGTAAGCAACAATAATCTGTTTCAATGAGTCATAAATTATCATCAGTGTTTATTCTTGCTACTGTAAATGACAAAAGAAAAAATGATGACTACTGTAAGATAAACAAAAAATTATCATTAAAAAAAAAAAAATTATTAAGTTTAACAAGGAAAAGCAAAAGAATGGTACATCTAATAAAAAAATATTGTTTTTATCATATTTAACTAAATATAGGGGTTTCCAATTAAAAGTTCTATTTTTATATTTTAATCCTGAAGGGATGAAAAACAAAATTATCACACATATTATTGTAAAATTTTTTGAATTAAACAATATTTTCCTTTACAAAAATTTAACATTATATAATATACAATAAATATTTTTTATATTCTTTCCATGAAAAAATTAATTTAAATATACTAGGAGATTAAAAATAAGCTGTTTCACTGAAGTACACAACTATGCATACAATTAATTTAACAAAAATACATAAAAAACAAAACAAACCTTTTTCTTTTCTTAATCTATTAATAAACTTCTTGGGAGCAATTGAACCAACTTTTTTTTTTTGAGTAGCAATACTATGAAAAAGGTCAGCTAAACAAGTAAGCAATGTTTCTTTATTTCTTTTGTTTCGTGCCTTATATTCAAGTACTTTTTCACGAAATGGTTTACAAAAATATAATGCTTGAAGCACAGAATTGCTGTAACAAGTATTTCCAAACTGAAAAAGATAAAATATTATATTACTTTAATTAAAAAAATTCCTATAACTGAACTGAAAATTTGTTTATAAAGTGATTATAAATTTTTTAGAATTATATTTATTGCCTCATGCTCAAATTTTGATAATGAATATTAAACAAAAACATTTTATAATTGAATCTATAAAGCAAACAGAAAAAAAATGTTAACATCTTCTTCATTCTACATTTTAAAATATATCAATGTAACATAACTGAAGTGCTATAAAAGTAGTTTAATATTAGTAGATTAAAAAATTATGCCTTTATTATTCACTGGACTTGTTAGTACCAATGTATTAAACAAAATAACCAAGAGAATGTGTATTATAACAGATATACTAAGTATAATATAACATAATTAATATGTCATTATTAGTAAAATCAATATATTTTGAATTATTATACTAGTGAACTTATAACAAATTCATAATAACAGTTATTTTATTTATTGATTTTTTACTTTTGCTTACATTTATAGACTTTAACATGTAAGTTTAATTTGCATTAAGATATAAAAATGCAGAAATTCGATCTTTCTACCTGATGTGATTTTTTCAACCTTGGTATTGGGTACTGTCTGGTAATGCTGTCCAATATAACACTATCTCATCATAATTATATAGCTGTGAAGATTATATAATTTTTAAAATGTCATTCAGTTTTTTATGATTAACTCAACACTTTTATTGTCGACACTAATACTTTCACACCTGTGACACCTTTGGAATTTAAATGGTCATCCCGACCTTTCTGAAAGTTATATATATATATATATATCAAACTTTTTAGTTTATCTTTCCATTGCAGCTTGAATTCAACCCCAGAGATTGATAATCCAGAAGAACAGAGTTGACTAAACCATTTGCAAGCTACACCATCAAGGAATTGATCTAATGGCATCTATATTATTTTTATAGCACTTGCTTCAATTTCTACATTAAATTTCAGAACAAACTTTCTTATATCATCTTTCTTTCTTTAATCTGAGACGACAGTTTGTTTAGCAATCCCATATAATATACAAATGCTTGACACAGATACTCTTTTTTTAAGATTTTCTATGAATTATTTATAGTTTATTGTTAAGGAAAAAGATAAATGCTTACACTTTTACTTAGCAACATTATATATAAATAATAACAGATAATATATAAATTATGTACTAATACATACATGAAAAAATAATAAAACATTTATGAAAAACTAAAACCTTCGAATCATATCAGATGATAACTGACATTAATTACATAATCGAATAAGTATAACTAACAATTGAATAATTTGGTTGAAAACTGATATTCATAATAGCTATTTCCAAGAATTTACCATAAATGCATAATTCTTGGAAATAGCTTTCATATTTATTTTAGCTTGTAACACAAAATAAATATATATGTTATTAAAAGGCAGTCCAGATTAAGTGAAGTTAAATTAAAAAAGGTTTTACTGAAATAGTAATATAGACTTATACAAGGTGTTCACTAAGTCAGGAAACGGGTTTCTATTGTTCTCATTGTTTGTAACAATGAGAACAATAGAAACCCGTTTCCTGATTTACTGAACACCCTGTATAGTTATTAACAGCATTCAAAATTTTAGGCAAATAAATATTTGTTAGGAAAATACATATTAATATAATGGTTCGATTCAAGTTTTTTATTGTGTATTTTTGAAAGACAAAACTTTATTTTTTATATTCTAATAAGATTCTATATTTAATGTATTTAGAACATATTTTTGCATATTTAGAAAAAAAAAACAGTTCTAATAAAAATATTTTTTAAATAATTTTTGTTTAAAATTTCATTACTTGATGACAAAGATGGCAACATGATTGTTGTAAAATATAATTTATGCTTGATAATAGTTTTATATTCTATTATATATGCATTTTTTTTTTTTTTACTAATATCACTGTAAACATCTAAAATTAGTTAACATGTTATATTTATTATTGACTAAAGTAATTTAATCTATTTTAAATCATATTTAAAAACTCTTTGTGATATAATTTTCAAACTTTAACAGCAAAATATTCAACTAATTGAAGTTTTAGTGTTTTTAGAAGTTCAAACACAATTAAAATTAGTTTATAAAAATAATAAAAAATTTGATACTGTACTTGACAAAAATTATTAGGTTAACATATAGTAAAAAAAATATCATAAATTAATTGCAGAAATTTTACCGATATGGTTGGATTACATCCAAATAAATAAAATAATTCGTAGCTCACTTAAATATTTTAAGCCACAACCAAAGATCATTTAAAATTGAAAATATTAGGAAGCCTTATACCTATAGCGTAATTAAAGTACATAAAATTTTTAAAAATGTATTTGTTTTAACTTTTGTAAGAACATAAGAAAAACATTTTTTTCATCTTTTTATTTTTTTTAATGATTTTATTACCATATACTTTGTTATTTTTTAGTGAATATTTATGTGAGCATTTTTATATTTTTTTATCACTTGAAATTCCAAACTTTGGTTATTAACTTAGTTAAAAAAATTTTGGTATAAAATAACGAAAATACTTTTGAAAATTATTCCTTACATTAACTAGTCCAAAATAATGCTCATTGGGAGGAAATTGATCAGATCCAATATCTCTTTCGAGCTGTGATACATTACCGCCCTGAAAAACAGAAAATTCAAATAAAATAAAAATAACAATAAAGTCCTTATACTATGAATAAATAGTATTATTTATTTGAATATATTTTAAAATATTTATAAATATCTACTATATAGAAAGTAGAATAATACCATAAAAAAATGAACAGTTATAAGTTTTTTTATTTTTTAAAGCTCTTTATTAACTAATATTTTAATGGCACAATTATGAAATAAATGAAAATTTGTTTGGAATATTTTCTTTAATTTGAATGCAAAAATAAATATCATTAACCGAGATAAAAGATTTAAATATAAATTTTGAAAATTATAATTAGCCAGTAATTATATTGCATTAAAAATTGTAATATTGCAGAAGAAAAAAATTTAAATATTTTTTGTGTTATAAATACAACTTTATAATGGCAGAAAATAAAACAAAATTATAGATTACAGCAACAAATTTGTTAAAAAATGGAAAAATAATCATGTTAACAATATATAAGGATAAAACAAAATACACTATTATAACTAGGGATAACTCCAACTATAGAGTGGAATACTTGGAAATTGATGACTATAAATTAAAAAGAGTAGATAATTTCAATAACTCTAGGAGTTGAAATCAACAAGGACGTAAAAAGCCACGGGAAAATAAAACAAAAATTACTATAAACAAAATGATGTTATTTTGAATTGGTTTCTCAATTTAAATAAAAAGTGTTATCTTGGAAAACAAAAACAATGTTATACAATAAGAGCATCTAAAAATAAACTAGTTATTTTTGAACAAAAGCTTCTTAGTTGAATATTTTGTCTAAAAAGAAACAGAAAAAAGAATATTTGGCTGAAAATAAACCAAGAAATAAAAGTATTTTATGATAATACAAACATAATTAGAATCAATAGGAGCAATAGGCTAAGATATATAGTCATATATGACTATAAAGTCTAAAAATAGAAGACTATGAAGTTAGTTATATATGGAAATTGATAGGCCACATTAGGATAGTCAGAAGATAGAAACCAGACACAATAAGACCCAGAGTAACGCCTGGACAATGATGGAATGAGATGATCAGCATAGATACATTAAAGATGGTAGTGGATGATAGAGAAGATCTAGTACACAATAGAGAAGGGTGAAAGCAATTGGTTTTACTGGCAATAATCCTAAAAAAGCCTGTAAACCTTTAAAAAACAAAATGAATAAATAAATACTACTAATTACAACTTGTCACTATCAGATTATATAATTTTTTAGTAAAAAAAACTTAGTACTGTTCATTTATAAGCGATATTAGCTTGGCTCTATTTTAGAATATTAAGAAATTTAATATTTTGATTTGAAATTGTAAAACTTTGTTTTACAACATTTCTAAAACATAATATTTTGAAACTAACTACGTTTAACAGAGAATCCCAAAAAATGATTTATTTTTAGTAAATTTAGGTTTAAATAATAAAATAATATAAAATGAAATGAATCACTAAAAATATTTGAATGAAAAAATAACCNAAAAACCAAGAAATAAAAGTATTTTATGATAATACAAACATAATTGGAATCAATAGGAGCAATAGGCTAAGATATATAGTCATATATGACTATAAAGTCTAAAAATAGAAGACTATGAAGTTAGTTATATATGGAAATTGATAGGCCACATTAGGATAGTCAGAAGATAGAAACCAGACACAATAAGACCCAGAGTAACGCCTGGACAATGATGGAATGAGATGATCAGCATAGATACATTAAAGATGGTAGTGGATGATAGAGAAGATCTAGTACACAATAGAGAAGGGTGAAAGCAATTGGTTTTACTGGCAATAATCCTAAAAAAGCCTGTAAACCTTTAAAAAACAAAATGAATAAATAAATACTACTAACTACAACTTGTCACTATCAGATTATATAATTTTTTAGTAAAAAAAACTTAGTACTGTTCATTTATAAGCGATATTAGCTTGGCTCTATTTTAGAATATTAAGAAATTTAATATTTTGATTTGAAATTGTAAAACTTTGTTTTACAACATTTCTAAAACATAATATTTTGAAACTAACTACGTTTAACAGAGAATCCCAAAAAATGATTTATTTTTAGTAAATTTAGGTTTAAATAATAAAATAATATAAAATGAAATGAATCACTAAAAATATTTGAATGAAAAAATAACCAAATAATATTTTTTCAAAAATATCTGAAAATTTATTAAAATAATTTAGTGAAAAAGCTTAGTACCATATTACTGAACGGTTTCGTTAAGTTCCAATCAAGCCATAATGAATGATTGTTTTGACTATAACCTTAAAGGAATAATATTCTATTGATAGATACAGGTTCACTTCATATATTTATTTATTTATTTTAATAACTCGTTAAAAAAAAATCTAAAATTAAAACAATACTACGGACGGTTGTAAAATGAAACTACAGCAGATGCCATGAAGTACTTTCAATTTGTTTCTGTTATCAAAATACGACTTATCGTAATTTGTCAAGTTGTTGAAAATCGAGATATTTATCAATAATTAAAAACAAACTCGCCGACAATTTACAGTGTTACCCTTATGACCATTTTAAATTGTCAATTGTATTGTATAAGTAAGATGCTACATAAAAGCGACATCTATTGGGATTTGCTGTATTCGTTCACATGCTAGTCGATCAAGAATGTTTTTTGGCGGGTTAGTTAAAATTACGTTCTCGTGTCGTTTGCTTCGTGCTAGTGTTCCCTGAAGTTCGTTAATAAGTATTCTAATATTTATAGTTCGTTTAATATAAAATTATGAATTGTTAACTCATATCATGCTTAAAAATTATTTAAACTAAATTACTGTTTACTCTTGTAGCAGATGTTCCGAAAAAATAATTAAATAAAAACAGTGAGTATAAAATGTTTGTTGTTTATTGGAATTATAAATTTAACTTCCGTACTTCTCGTTGGCGTAATTTGAACAAAATGTTCAAATGTATACAAAGTAGAAAATCTAACTTTTCTCCCCTCTTAATAATATTGCTATATAAATGTACATATAATTTACATAACTTAGGGAAATGTGACAGAATTATAGAGAGCTAAAACCTCACTAAACCCCCCAGATTGTGTCTATAATAAGTACATAATAATAAATCGTATATTTATAATTGACAATTATTGAAGTGTAGGGGAGACTGTGGGAACTACGATAACCTTAGCAAAAATTGTTATATCTCTGGTTCTAAGACTAATTGTTATGCTATTACAACAAATGGATGCATAAACATATTAACTGCATTATGTCAAAGTCTCAGATTTTTAAAACGTAATCTTATATATATATTTTTTTGTAATGCAAATGACCATACATAAATACATGCAAAAAGATAGGGATAAAATAATTTAAAAAAAAAAATCACTGAAATATAGTTCATATAAATTATAAATATATAATAATTTGCTCACCTTAAATTAAATTTCTTAAACAAATTTTTTTTAGATAAATCATCGATGAAAACTATTTTCACACATTTAAACGTGAAAACGTTTTTTGATAACATCGTTCTAATAAGGATAATGTTTTTTATCATTCTTAATCTATACATATGGTCAACATAATTTTAGATGCATGGGTTTATTAGATAATGAGGTGACCGGTATTACCCACTGACCATAATTCCCCCAGTCACCCCTATTATTAAGTATTCTTAAATCAAGACATAAATTACCAAAAATACCTTTACGATCAGCTAATAGAATTAAATCATGAGATGTGGAGACTTCTTTTGACTATAAAATTAATACAGTCATATTTTATTTGATTTTTTCTTCGAGGGAAGAAAATACTTGAAAAATGCGGAGAAAACTTATTTAATTGAGTAATGAAATAAGTTCTATGTTATGTTTAGAATCAATTTAGTGAAGTTGGGTGTTAATGTGTCACAACTTGACACTTATAACTTATAAGTAGCTAAGTTGATCTAGGTTAGGGTTATAACTTTTCTTCAAATTACAAAGCAATTTTCATAGTTAAATAACAAGTAATACTGTTTACTAATCATCCAAATTCAATTTTATTTTATCATTTTAAATCATTCATCTAGGAAAAATCGTGATTCTTTATTGCATGTGTCTTTAAAATTACTACGTTATAATCTCTTCCGAAAAATATAATTGAATTTAATAAGTTTAAAATTCTATTCGAGTACTACCGCATAAGTATGTCAGATTTTTTATAAAAAAAATAATTACGTAAACATAATGCATTCTAAAGATAGATTTTTTCTTGAATTTGTCACTTGTTTAACTCCGTTAAAAAGGAAGAGCTTTAAAATACGTATCTACTTTATCTCCTTTAACCCGAGCCTTAAATCACACTAACGATACTTCATTAACCAACAACAAACAAAAGTGCCATGTACATATGTAAAATTGTATTTCTATATCATGAATCATAATATGATTTATATTATAAGGAGAACGTTAATACAGAAATTATACTTGCAGTATTTTGTTAATTTTACACAGGTGTAAACTGGTAATAGGTAAAAGGCGATTACTGCCAGGGCTCTCTATTTAATTAACATACTCAGGGAAGTCCTGAAGTTAAAAATATGAGGGGATAAAAAAATTATTTCTACCAATAACTCCTAATTATACACATAAAATTTCTTTTTAACCATAACATTCAAATGAAAATTTTGGGGTTTCAAAATGTTTATTTTGCGTGAAAAAATGTAAATTAAAAACAATCTGATGAAATTAAAGCAAATTCTAAATGTAGTACATATTTACACCTGTTGGTAGCAAGGTATGCCATAGTACATAAACAGGAAGAACTTTTTTTATTGACAAACCTAAAATATTGTGCAACAAATAAATTTCACAATATTTTTTTAAACAGTTTGTGCTAAATTAGATGACTTGCACTTAAATTAAAATATTTTAGTTAATTTTGTATGAAATAACGTCATTATAAAAGTAAACTTTATAAACATCTTTTATCTATATTATATTGCTTATTTTGTATTTTAAGCTCATTCAGTGGGTTAAAAAAATATTATACTATTCATAAGTGTTTTCAAGTGAGAAATGGGTGCTATATTCCAAATTATAAATATATTTATGCCTTGATTATACCATTTTTGAAGAGGTAAAAAAATGTCTATATATGTCCATAACAAAACCTTGGTTATGCCTCAATCTTTGTATTCATAAAAAAGTACGATAAAATTTCATATTTGTTAAAAAATAATTTTTGGGTGATTTAATAAAAAATTTAAGCGATTATCAAACATTGCTTGGTAAATAATTGTTTTAATTTTATCTTTTTACTTAGAAATAATTTATAAAAAATTCCTTTGAAATAGTCAGTGAAATGTTATGAATGCTTTGGAAAATTAAGTCTAGCAAAAATGCCATGACAGATATTTGTAAGACCCATGGAATAATATAATTATTTTAAAGTAATTCTGAAATTCCTTCTGATTCAAGTATATACGAAAAAGCAGAAAGATTAGAATTGTGTCTTTTCATAAAATAATCATTGTAGAAATATTTTTATAAAAAGAGTTTTGAAATTTAATATGTAGATTGAGTTTAACGAATAAAAATTTTTGACACCCCCAAATAATCTGGCTCTGCTACTTCTCTGATGAATTAAAATACTTTCACAATAATTAGATAATTTTAGTAGGTTGAAAAATTAAATAATAATTATCACTAATTACTAATTATTACTTTAGTTTAAACTAATTATTGTACGCGTCTAATCGTAAACTAGTAATCGTTCTTATATGTATTATAATGTTTATAACTTTTGTATATAGGTCCCATTACTTATTTAGTTTACCACGTTGCATAAATGATATCATCGTTAAAGAGATCACATATAATTATACAAATGTTAATACAGAAAATTAGCACCGTACTTCATTGTTCCACTCACGGACGAATAATAAAATGTAGATAGCTAATTTTAGCATTAATAACTTACCTTAGTAATTATTTTCATAAGTAACATAACTATACTAAAGTAAAATATGTTGTTTAAAGATATTATTGAAAAAATGTGTACATTTTATCTAAAATTTATTTCTTAATTAAGAGAATTGTCCTCATTCACCAGTTACCTTGGAAGTATGTCTTAGCTTTTGGGGAATCCAGGATAAATAATTAATTTAGGTGAAAAATGTTTTAAAAATGAATCTTTAAGTGCGGGATATGATAAATTTACCTAAATTATGACATCAGTTTATCCTGTATATTTATAAGTAAATCATAATATTAACATTTTTTTAAAATTATGCTTAAGTTTTTTAATGGAAGTTGAAATAGTAAAACGATTTATTGAAAGCATATGTGCCTTATAGTACCACGTGTTCACTTTTTTATGTGACTTTATTATAAACTATTGTCTTTTCAAGGGGATATATCCCTTGCTCCAAATTTAACCCTTACCTCATGGTTTATCAATAGAGGCTTACAGATTCGTTTCAGAAAATTACACTTGCACAGTCATCAATGGAAAAACGCCAAATGTCATTCATACTATATTATGAAATATCACACACGTTAACATAGACCCTCAATTCCGCCCTTTTTCTGAAGGGTCCAAATTTGTGGATCATAAAATAGTGTGTATTTTATTTATATACAACGTTAACAAAGCTAGAAAATAGAACTTAAATCTAGTACAGTGTAGCAGTGTGGTCGTCATAAAATCACTCAATGCATTATAAGCAGTGTATTTTTTTATTAATATCACAATAAACTTTTATCACTCAACAAAAAAGTTAAATAATTATGTTAACTTAAAATACCAATATTTTAATTAAAATAAATAATAGCTCAACGTTTGTATATTAGAAAAAGGTTCAAATAATTTTCATTTAAACACAGAAATTTATGAAAACAATTCAATGTATTCCTCAGGATATCTTTACTTATAACAGATGAGAAGTCAACATATAAACTCAATGCAACATAAAACCAATTAATTATTTTATTTTTACTACGTGACAAATGACTGTTTAGCTTGTCACTAACGCAAGTTTGGCATTATAAATTTCTTTTGTAGTACAAGTGGTAGGATTTTACATCGTTTACTTTAATATGCTATAGGAAATTAAAATTTGATTATGACAATTTTAACCTATTTTATATCTTAGTTTGTTTTGTTTTTACAAACAAAATTGTTTAAATTAATGAGTAATAAATGTATTGTCTAATAATTAATAAAATTAATTTAACTAGTCCGGAAAAATCAATCAAATGTGTCATATAAATAGTATCCTTGGTTTAAGATTTAAGTAGGTATTTAACGTTTTATGATAATTTTATGATTAAATGATAGTTACTTCTACTTGAAGTGCTGCGATTATAATCAAAAATAATTAGAATATTTAAACAAATTATAACACAATCATGCTATATTATTATTGCGAGAATAAATTATTAATATATATATATATATGTAATATTTATAATATAGGTACTTAAAATAATTAATTCAAGTTTTTGAAGTGGACTGTTCTAACACCAATGTATTGGTATAGTTTACAAATAGATATTTTTTAACAGTGCCTCATTATGATATGTTTGTACATGTGTTACGCAAAGTCTCGTGAACAGTTATACAGAATATGCAATAAATGGTAATCTATAAGTCTGGTTAAAAACTCTTTGAAATTTGTAGCATTTATGTTATATTTATTTTTATCATTCAGAAATAAAAAGTTGAACGTGCGATAAACGATTGTTTATTACATACGTTAAATGCTACCAATTGACTTCTAATCCAATTGCATGGAACTCTGAATTCCGTCTAAGAAACTACGAATATTATATAAAGTATCATTTAACTTATATACGTTGCTTGTAATAAAAAGTTAATGTAAGGACAGAGTAGACTCACTAAAATTCAAAATGGATGAATAATCCAGAGTCACAAACAAAGCCGCTACCAAATAATATAACTTCAACAAATTGAACTAGCCTAAGTGATTATCAAAATTATTGAGCGATTACACTCCTCAGTGTTATTATTGACACCAAAAACGATATGACGTCATGGAATTTATTTTTATTAGTTTACTATTTACTACACGCCATTCGCTAAAACTCAAATCATGAATGAATGACTCAACTTACTAACATTCCGAACTTGTAACAAGGTTGTTGTATCTTGTGATTCAACTCTGACGAAATTTTCTTTTCTCGGTATTTTTAAAACACAAGAAATATCTTTGACATTATTTTTTTACAATAGGATGTATAAAAAAAATGTAACCTATATAAAGTATATATGCATTTAATATAATATATTGCGTACAAATAAAACAAAATTTATTAAAAAATATTTTATTAAAGGTTATTAACACCCCTAGTTTTTTTTTTATAATTTTCACATTATTTTAGGTGACAAATAAAAAAATATATACCTATATATAAAATACATTATGGACTCGTGGAAGGCATTCCTTTTATATAAAATAAAGAATTTTTAAATGCTACATGTTAAACGAATCAATGGAAATTTTAATAATATTGAACTATTTTTAAAAACATCAAATTAAATTTCTTCATCATTCCCTATGACTTTATTAAATAAACATATTATACTTTATACATAACTATACCTTTGCGTATATTTTAAAATGTAAAAAACCAGCTGGACCATTAAAATTTATTAAAAACAGAACATACGACGAGTTAGTTGTAGAATTTTGGCGCGTGCGGTGCTACTACATAGTATACGGCTGCTGTTATTATTCGTTGGCCACGTGCACGTTTGGACGTTACGCTGCTTGAGGATCAAAATGTGCATCGTAACTACGGTCGAGTAGGTACGATTCATGGTCTCTTGAGCCCGGGAGATGCAACGGGCGACAGATGTACTGATAGACTAGCTAATTACTATATACAATGAGTACTTCTTCCCAAACGCTTTTCGAATTCGCTTAATGTTGTATTGATATTGTATTTTTAACTAGCCTTAAAAATATATTAAATCATATAGGTTAGCGAGTTTAAAATTTTCATCTACTAGAGAACAATGATAATGAAATGAATTGATAAAATTATATAAAAATTCTTAATGAAACGTTGGATTAATAGGTTCAGAAATTTTATATATAAAATAGAATAATTGTGATTTTCTTTTATAAATGTTAATCATGTAATGTTAATGTTAATGTTTATTGGTCACAAAACAATGTTAATTTGCAGCATTTAATATTAAAATCTTTGGATTACTTTATCGTTTTGGATCGTGCCAAACGATCGTTTTACAATTAAGATAATATTTGTAAGTCAAATATACGTGTTTTTCATTTGTAAAAAAAAATAAAGATTAAATAGTCTCGTGTTCTATTAAAATCGGAATTAAACAATATTATGTAATACGATTTTTACTATAAGATAATCTTAATAGCATTGGTATAATTTTCAAACTATTCTATGGATGTGTAACGGTTTTTCTCGCCCCATCCAAGCGGTGATTTAAGGGTGAGCATAGTGCAGTTGTGTGCGAAGCGAGCTCCCCTTTCAATTATTCATTCATAGGGTACAATGGTTCTCAAACTTGTTGTTTATATGATAAACACGACGAACACAAATAATTTTTGAACATATGAGTACGGCAAGACTATCGCATCTAAGAATGTAATAATTTATTTACTGCAATCAACATTTTTTTTAATATTTCATGTAAACAAAGTTTATTTGGTATAGTAAACCCCAAAATATAACTCAATTATACTATTATACCAATTCAACCAGTAATAACTTTCAATTATGTTTTAAAAGATTTTAATATATTTGAATATGAATTTCAACATTTAGTTTATATTAACGTACTTTTGTTTCCGCCAGCATACTTACTAAACAATTGATAGAAGTATAAATATTAAGTATATATTATTTCTATTCACTTATAGTTGCTACGCGACATGCGGGGTAACGGTCATTTGAAAAAAATTAAATAACGTTTCCTAAAATAACATTAAAAGTTTTAATTAAAAAAATCAAGTATTTGAAAAAAATTATTTTCATTTGTAATAACGATTTGAACGATATATTGTGAACCTTAATTTTATCACATCTTACCTGGTCATCATTTTATTGAAAAAAGTTATTCGCTTGTAAAACAATTTTTGTTGAATTACATTACATTACTTATAATTAAACAAAATAAATTATCAACAATCGTGGATAATCAGAAATTACACTATCTCATTTACCAATAGATTAAAAATGCACAACAATTATTTTAGATAAGTGATATCTATAACTGCAATATTATTCCTTATTTTAATAATTTTCACAACATTAAAAATCAACTTGTATTCCAGTTCAGGCATTGATATCGTAGGATGAATATTCCAATAAATTAAAATAATATTAATTTATTTACAAATTTGCTAGTATTGCGAGCTAATTAATGTTGGCGAATGCAGAAAGTTGATATGCCCACATCGTAGTAATTATCTCGTTTGAGTAAACGGATTTACTTAATAGACAACTAGGGTACTGGTTTAATATACATTTTTAATATAATGTATAATTCTGAAATCTGTTTTACTAATGTATTTCAAACATAGTATAGAATAACTTTTATACGTTTTAATTATTGATAGCAAATTTACCTATTTGAAGAGCATAAAAAAATTCGTTCCTTAACTTATTTATACAAGTACAGATATTTTTACATAAATGCATTTATTTTCCTTTTAATATTAACAAAAACTTTTTTGTTTATTGTTAAATACATTTTTATTTCTTATTTAATTATGTTGTTTTTTTTTTTTTGAATATATATTAAATGTAATAAGTTTACTTTATTAATATTATTTGATAATTATTATAAGTTATAATCTAGTAAACAATTAAAATATTTCTTTTTTTTTAGGTCAGTTTTTTTTTTCAAATAACTTTTCAAAAAGTTGAACCTTTGATAAATTGGAACAATGTTTCTATTGGTAAGTAATTAATCTTTAAAAGTGTTCTTTATTTATGAAAGATAATAAAAATTACATTAAAATATTCTATGCAGTTTAATTATTTTATATCTGTAGTATCTTAAAGAGAAAGAGTTGACATTTAAGAGTTGTCATTTTATTGAATAACAAGTAGTTATAGATACTGTTATTTTAACTGGTTCAATTTTTATTCTAATTATATAAATACAATCGTGATATGAGAGATCGTTTTCACAAATATCTAAAACAAGTTGAATCATAATGAATTGCCACATGCGATTCACTCCATCATAATTATGTAAATAAAAACTGTTAATACTTTGACATCTTTCATATGATTTTTTATACATTTTCATTTTTGTTCGAATAATAAAAGATGTATCGTATACTATATGATGTTTAGAATATTTTATTTATTTTACAAACTATGTATTAATTAGTAATTCTGATCAGTAGCGAATTTTAAAACAATTTCTAAAATATAATTTACACATTAAGGTTCGATTTATAGTCGCCTCATATAACAGCCGACTTTTTTACAGCTGTAATTTTCAATATCATTGACATAACAGTGTAATTTTTTTTTCTGAGTTACATACAAACGTATAAGTAACAAAAAAAGCTAAGGAGCTCTACATCTCTATACTGTACTAAGCTATTTATAAAATGCATACTATTTTGGCAGATAATAGAGACTCCTTGCGTTCCTTATTTTGAGCCTTTGTAATTTTATGTATATTGATGTTAATGTCCAATCCATTTTTTATAACCTCCTACAAACCTCCTTTGGCTTCTGATAATTGTGCATATTATTTATAAACTAACGCATAATATTATTTTTTTATTTATTTACTCATAGAACTCTTACTTTCTAAACATAATTTTTATATTAAGTGTATTTGTTAAAAAACTAATTAGGCATAAATATTATTTTTAAAATTTCTCTAATACATAAATTGTATCAGAGAAACAAAAATCGTAAAAATATAAACAAATATATGCATTATTTAAACACAATAAAAGTTTTTCTCATAAGCCTAGACTGAAAAATGTTTCAAGCAAACTGTGTTAGTATACACTGATTCATGACTATGTGATTCAGAAAAAATCTGTACTCGCAAATTAAGATATATAATTTTTAATCATATATTAGTAGATTAAGAACCACTTGATATTATTTTTAGTTCATTTATAAAAATATGTTATTCGTATGACACACTAGTAATGTAACAATTTAGTCTTCTAGGGTTGAGTTTTGGAGAGCCTTAACGTTTGCTATCGTTAGTATTTTATATTTATTTACAATTAAAATATTGCATTATATTCTAATGTAGTTTAATTTTGTTCCAGAAGATATTTAAACGAAATAGTTCTGTTAGGGAAAGTCATGTTTATTGATATTTTACCCACTCATACAGTTAAAATATTTTTTCCATTACATCTACTATTCCAAGTAACTTTTATAAGTTGCAAAAACTTAGATATATTTAGATGTTATAATTGTATATCGATCGGATGTTTTTGTGTATAACTGATAAAATTAATAATGGAAAATCTTTTATCAATTAAATTTTAGTTCACCACGTGGAGACAATTAAAATTTAGTCGTGTGGGAGTACTTTATAATAAGTGAGTTACTGTACACAGAAAACTCTTTAATATATTTTTTAAAAACATTTTTAGATTAATGTTTTGGTATTTTCATTAGTTTAACATTGTCAATATTATTTATTCTTAACACAAGTAAACAGCAGTCTTCTATAATTTTATTTTCACATTTTTTTTTAATTATCTATAAACAGTCGACATAAATATAAATTATATACACAATAGAAAGCTGACTGATACTTATTTTTGGTATCTCTACAATATTTCTATTGACTTAATAGCAAATTTTTTAATAAAAAAAATATTTGTATCAACTTGTAGCAAATACTCAACAATTATTCATCTGAAATTTATTTATGTAGAATTAAAAAGATCCATTTTATGTAATACAAATGTTGTATAATTATTAATAATAATTGTTAAAAATTAAATATATCTACTCTTATTTAATTATAATTATTATATCAATATATTCTTCTTTTCGTTATATAAGTAAACCCTCCGTAGTCACGCCCTCTGATTTTATCTATTATTTCTTGTTTTGAAATCAGCTTAAGTACTAAGTCGTGTTCAGTGTTTTTACTATTGTTAAAATATGTCGACTACTATGCTACATTTAGTTTCTCAAAAGATCTAGTACCCATTTATACCTAAAACAATTAAAAATAAAAACCTTTTAAATGCACCTGCTTATAATTAAATTGGCTTATATTTATTGATTTTGTGCGTTTAAATCTTTCTTTTACTTAGTGCAGGTGTACATTTATAGATGCAAACTACACGGTGGGATTTTAATTATGCACTTGTTATAATAATCGCGTACACATAAAACAATTTATATTTCGTCAGCGTATAATTAACGAGAAACGTTTTTCAGGCCTAACGTCGTTGGTTTCCTACATAAATGTTCATTGTTTACCGCTACTGATTATGGTTTTCAATTATTGTTATTAAAATTCATATTTACAAATATGAGTATTTACTTTTTTTATTTATTATTTTTCATACACCTTCAATTCCAAGAGTAGCACGCATGAAGTAGCGTTTAGGATGCCAACGATTTAAAAATATGTATTACGTGCCATGTAATATATTTAATTGTGTGTGTGAGTAGATGTGTACCTATATCGTATTTATATATAAGAGGAAGAGGAAGGACTCGATGGCCGCGTACATGTCCGGTCGATGTCGCTGAGAATGGACCATTGTTGGCGGTTGAGAATAACGCGGGCGAGAGCAGAATTTGTAATGAGAACGCGGCGGCGGGTGTGTTGCCCTTTGAAAAATGCACCGAACGATAACCGAGCTACTGTCACCACACGATCAATGTAACAGTAGTGTTGTTGTATAATATACCATTAAATGTATCTAAAACATAACCAAGATAATAGTTGTGCTGAAGAGTAAGTATTTTTGTGTACAGCGATTGGATTCTTAGAAAATATCAAAAGAAATTAAAAATTTATCGGCGAGAGCTAACATCCTTTGCACAAATTGCAAAGGTAGTCTTCTCTTAATTACCCTGGTATTTAACGATTGAATGACAGTCAATCGTTTCCGGTTATATTTTTTACACACGTACCTATTTAAAGTAACCTTTTTCAACACCAAAAATTGGTAGGAATTCGGCTATAACGAAATAATTATTTCTTTGTCAAAAGATCAACAGTCATCATTTCATACCATTTTCACAGGTTGTATAGTGATGCTAGTTTAAATTGTTACGGAAAAATAATAATCTAGATAAAAAAATTCTTTTCAGAAAACTAACCAATATGAGACGTAGAAATTTGTATTTGATAATCTGAAAACATTTGGTGGTAGCTGACAGAACGTATTTTCTATGTTAGAAATTAATTCCAAATAGAAATTTTTTCTTAACTGACTAGTATTTTGGATCTCCTCCAAGCACATTTGATTATTTTACATATACGATTTATTTTAACTGAGAATTATTATTATGCGACCACATTGTTAAAATGTTAGTACATTTATCTACCTATAGCATATTGTACATGCACACACAAAACATAATATTTTTGAGACCTTGAGACCCTTTTAAAATGCTATCAATACCACACCCTGACACCGAGAATTCGACTTCAAGTATCATCGTAATTTTAAAATGTCCTATTTGTGTCAGGGATTAATTGAATAGCTTTAATGTAATTTTGTACATATTACAATAAAAACATTCACTTTTAACTATTTTATTATTTTTCTTTAAATATAAAAAAATGAGACTTAAATGACTCATTGAAAATTAGTATATCATACACTTTTTCATAGATAAAAAAACTCAGACTCTTGAAATGTTTCTCTGACACTGCATTTTTATATTTCAGCATTATATACTATAATACAGCATTATATTATTTTAACATAAACCAAAAAACAACATAGTAGTGTGTTCTAAGAGATAATAAAAATGCATATTTAACATTAATTCATTTCCCATAGAATTATTTTAAAAGTATGATAATGATTTACATAATATAAATCGTTTAAATTTATAATTAAAAAAAAATTATTTTTGAATATTTTCATCTCTATATTTATCATACTAATATTAAAACAGTAAATTCGGTATAAAATACATAGGGGAAGTCCTTTTTTCTTTTTAACTCAGATCATAGTTTTTTAAATACAAATATTATCAAGAATTCATAGTTCTGCTTTTCATTCGCCTGACTTATCTTAATTGTTTTTAGTTAACACAACATTACTTATGCTTTTATCTCATTGCGATCCTTTCTAAAGATTACATTCATTCAAAATTGAAAATTTGTATACTTGTTTTGTAATCATAGCGCAATAGCACTTAAGAAGTAGAAAAAAAAATTGTTTTAAAATACTTTTAGTAACTGCTTAATTAAACATAATCTCTAAAATGTTTAATGCATTTGCTCCTATGCAACATATAATTTTAGTGGTAAACAATTAAAATGCTGTAATTTAATTATTTATCAGTATTTTGTTTGAAATTGTTTAAAAACGCCGATGCTTTGCAATGTTCACTGTGTGCTGTATAATTGTACCATAAAAATTTAAATTATAATTTACACTTTATTCCATAATAGATACATATTATATTTTATTGATCATATTACAATAACAAGTTCGAAGCAAGGTTACTCATAATTAATTATGTTGTTTACATATAAATATAATTTACAAATAGTTATGATAAGTAAATAACATCAAATACCAAGTACTAAATGAGACTTTAACGTGGTTGAAAACAGTTTCGATCTAGACGTATAAAATTATCATGAATTTATAATTATTATTTGATTGCTCATGCTATTCAAGTTTCTGGCTGCAGTTTAGTAACGGGTACACAACATCCTCATGGTGGGCGTCAGTCGCGTACTTCGCTCGTATAAACAAAT